TAGAAGTTATTTAATTAAGCAAGCATTGTAACTTTGTGTTTGTAATTTTGAGAAAAGCCATCTTTAAAAGGACTTCCCCTTTCACACTATAACCTTTGTATGACTTGTCAAGGAGGGGGGAGTGTAACGGGATGGACATGACTGTAGACAAAGACTACAGGATGAAGACTAGGCTGACACGACTTGACTGGAGACTAACGCATGTACATGTAAACACAGCAAAGGATGCTGGGATACAATCAAAAGATGGCTGGCAATCAATGTATCGTAATTCTCTCGTAATGCTCATGTGATGCCGAAATAAATCATTCCTGATTGTTGATGTTAAATGGAAATCCCAATCTGGTGAGGTCGTCCGAACCTTAAGTGTGTAATCGACTGTTACAACACCCTATGTACTACAACTTGAACTTAAGTACATCATGTATGATGTAGCAAGACTTGAACTTGAAGTCAAGATCAATCTTTCCATTCATCATGTCATCATCGTTAAGGACTGGTCTGCAAGTCTGGTTCCTGTTTACACGGGTGCCAAAAAAGTAGACCTGTAACAGTGCAAGTCATAATGGGACCGTCATAATCATGCCGTCATGTGTCGAAAAAAGACGACATCCACGCTGTCTCCTGTAGCGTACACCGTCTGGTCTACTCAGTTTGTTGGCCAGCTGGCACTTAAAATTCAAGTTGCTTGATTTTTATAGAATTTGAACCTCAATAATTAAAGTTAGTTAAAACAATAACACTTGTGTCACATGTTACCTTGTGTATAAAAATTCTGCATGGTCATTTCTGAGAACAAAACTTAAGTTACCGTTTTAAATTTGGGATTCCTCATCTTCATTTTTACCGGTGAACTTTCAAACGTGAGCTCACATTTCTATGACGTCATAGGTCAAGAAAATTCCTTCCCATCATCCATTGAAATGCATCTGTTACATATAGTCGATACTTTTAGTATCGAGTATACTGAAATAAGTTTTGGTATCGATTTTTGTGATGTTCACCTCGGCTACATGTAGTGTTAATAGTACTTCTATTGTCGATAAAGAATAATCGATTTTTTTGAACTTAGTTACCTGTTTCTGACGTGTTAAATATCCGACATATGAATTTCCTAGTTCCTGCCTGCTGTTTTTGTTTTTTCGAAACTTACGACTTCGTCGAGCATTTGTGGGTACCATTTGGTGTATTTTCGTAGGTAAGCTTTGATTAATTAAATAGGGTTTCTGTGGTTTATTATCTCAAAACATGCTACTGTAGTGAGGATTAACCGACGATCGGCATGATCGGAGCGGAGTCCGAGTAGCCTAGGCTAGCCCCATTACTGGCACTAGTGTGGCACCGACTCTCAGTCTCACTCCCGATCCATCCTTAGCCACACATCCGTATGCGCAATTTCGTGTCGGCGTATTGAACATTTCGGTGCACCCACTTATCATCGTGGGTGCAATTTCATTTGCACACGAACATGATTCTTGACCTTTCCGCTTTCTAAAAACCATTTATTGAATGATTTCACTCACGTTATTGAGGTATTTTCCAGTTTTTTTGCCTTGATCTTCAATCTATGGGCTCGCTCTCTCAGTCACCATCTTTAAAATAAGATCGTTGAACGATACGTCACTTGACCCCTCATCATCTCGACGGCTGTTCCATGTCAAGACATATGTAATAAATGGGCTGAGCGATAAGATACTACATGTACCAATGGGCTCTTCCAAAACTTTGGCAGCAGTTTAGAAGTCTTGACATGGAAGAGCCGTTGAGACGCAGGCAGAGAATCGGGCTAACACTTGTGTGGGCACCTTTCGCAGGTCGCGTGCATGGCGTATTTGCACATACAGTGTACGTACTTCCTACTTCGAGAACTCTACATGTAAGTCACTATTCCGTCACACTCGGTGTGACTTTGATGTTTTAGAATCAGATTTTTGTGGTGATCTGATTCACAGAACATGCTGGTGTATTAGGCCAAGGCTAAATCAAATGTGCTTCATGTGGCCAACGGTACGCTGCTCTCCCCTACAGCGATATGCCCGTATACCGAATTTTTGTTGACTTTTTCAAGCGCTTCGAAATAAAAGCATTTTCACGATTGGAGTTGCTCGAAATACAATGTATGCCATACCCTCTCTGCTTCTAAATCAATCTTTCACTACGTAATCTTACCTCCTACTTTTTGAGAAATTTGCAACTAATTTTTGAAATCCATATTGACGTTGACAGCTCGAATCATCATGGCGTCAAGTTTGTGACCCCTAAACTGTGACCTCACATTATGCAAATACAGCACCAGGAGTTCAGATGCGACGCAGCTGTTATTGAGTGCCAATCATACATGTACATTGCGAGAAATATTTGGCTGAAAAAGATAAATTGACAAAATGCTGAACATATCTCTTGAATCTGGTTTCAGAGATGCACAAAGATCTGTACATGTTAAGACAATTATGATATTTGCATAATTAATTAATTCATGCCATTTGTGTTTGTCAGACTGCGCATGTGTCGAGCCCACAAATGATCTCACTTGCTCTGCATCTTGGTTCGACCATTTGCAGTGGCGGGGATGACATCTTGTGATGTTTTCACGCAACATGTGCTGTGCTGTGTAGCCGTGACAGACTGCACGACTTAAAAAATCCCCCCTGCCACCGAAAATGGTCAAACCAAGATGCGGAGCAAGCACGGTCATTGGTTGGACAGGGTCAAACCCTAGTCATTGACCCTGGAAAAACTAACAGCTCAGCGCATGCCAACAAAGTGTTAGATTTCACACGTAAAACAGTCCTGAACTGCCCAATTGTAGGAGTCAGTGGGAATTAGAGATTCTAGTGATTGTTGTAAGGTTTGTTAACATTTGAGAAGAAAAGAGAAATTTCCCACTCAAATCAGAAACTCTCCCAACGTCAAGCTCGAAGTCAAGTTTGTCATGTTTGTGCGATTCAAACTGTACACACATAGGGAGAATATTGACGGCGTCACAACAGGTTTTTTTTGTGTGGGTTTTTTATTTTCAGTTACACGTGCCTGTAGTCCCAGTAGCATGTCAGGATTGACAAATGTTGGCAAGGCGTAGACACACCAATGACACCGGTTGGAACCAGCAACAGTATCCTGCACATAGTAACTGGACAGTAACGACACATAGCGTTGAGCAGGAAAACGGTCGTCTCACAGCCCCGTTTGAGCAGCAAGAGATGACCTGCCGAGATAGAACACAGGAGTTCAACTCGGCCATCAAGTCACTGCAGTCAAGACAAGTCCATGTGCGTAATTCTTTTTTTTATCTGCTCTCAATTCTAAGCACTCCCTTATTGGCATAATCAAAGTGCGCACATGCATTCAACCAGACATTGGTCGCACATGCTCAGTGCAGCCCATGTACGTGTTGAAACCTGCACATGCTCACGATGAGTTCCTACTAAAGGACCACAGTTGCTTGTAAAAGCAAATTATTCCCACATGGATAAAATAGGCTATCCGAAGCTCATACTTACATCAAGAGTGCAGAAATACCAGCCCTAAACATTTGGGCCTCTTAGTCATGTTAGTACTGTGCATGAGAGTCCCAGAACTTCAGATACAATAGGCAAAAACATGGAACACGAGATGTGTGCTTGAAATCAGTATAAAACCCATACATGTAGGTGCTGCATCAATCAACTTGTCAAAAGAAATAGACTGGCACCATTACCTACAGTAGTCTCAATTCTTTATGTATTCTCTCCATAGCTGTACCACCAGGCTATTGAGTGGTCAGTCTTTTCAACTAGACGTGCACTTGGTTGGTTCTGGAGACTTCAAGTTGGAATCACTTGGCGTCACTGTCACAAAATATTAAAGATACCTTTAGTTCAGAAATTAAATTGAGACTTTAAACTGGTGAAAAGCTTTGTGTTTGTCTCATGACAAGTTTTGGATAATTTTATCAGAAAGATTACAGATATTTGTTTCTGCACACCAGCTCCCAGTCTGCATACATGTACGTACACTGTTCAAGCAAACAGAATCAGACCTTACCGTACTTACATGTACGTGTAAGGGTCAGGCTCAGTTTGAGGCCTCAATACAAATTTTGGAAAGGAAGTTTTTAAAGTTTTTCTCTACCAAAGGGTAAAAGAAAAGAAGTCATTTAGACATGGAGTTCACGAGAGCGATCGGATACACACAAATCCTACATGTATTTGTGGCAGCATACATGTACATGTAAATGACAACCTGTGCATGCACCTGTGTACATGTATGCCATACATTTTGTAAGAACAAATCCCTTGCATCAAACTTACAAAAAGTTTGGGTTTACCTGGTGAAAAATATATGCAACACTGCAGTGGGAATACGGGCGATTCAAAATATATTTACCGGTAGTGCACTATCAAGAGTTTGCAACGCATTGGCCAATCACAATGCGCAAAATTTGTCGACCCTTTCCAAATGCGAATTGGGTTGACAGATTTCACGCATTGTGATTGGCCAACGCGTTGCAAACTGTTGGAGGCGCACTACTGTGAAACTACATTGGATAAGAGACTACATGTACATGTACGTATGTACATGTGTACAGCACAAATGAAAATGAAGATTTCTTCCTTTTTTCCTGTAAAAGAAGAAAATGAAATAAACTCAGGCCCCAGAATTTTTTTCTCAGCCTCAGTGCCCCTCCTGGTAAATTGACATTACTGCAGCTGTATATGTCTGTCATTAAAGGTGGTGTCGTGCTGAAAACGATCACGTATTCCATCAGTTTCCTTCCAAATTTGGGATGTTCAAGTTCAAAAGTGTAGAATTGTTGATGAACAAATTTTTCTAGAGCAAGCTGTCATATTTTTTGTTCTTCTTCCCATAGGGCAATGGAGTGGCAGCCAACAGACGAACCAATGCAAAGACAAATCAACACACCGAGTTCATGTTAATTGCCAAGTAAGTGAAGTGGTTGGGAATGCTTTGTCAATTTGAAAATGTTCATCTGGATTAGCCTTTCCAAAACCAAAAATTTATGCTGGTTGTTTGTGCACATGAAATTGAAAAAAAAAAATTCCACTGAAAATGCTTGTCGAGCACATTCCAATTACATTTAATCATAGAGCTTCATTGTATATTAACTTCGAAAGAGCACTTATTTCTCATTTTTAGAGAAACTTTGAAACTGTCCCGGGTGTAGACAGTTTGTGTGTGTTTCTAGGAATTGATTAAGATAAGAATGAGTGGATTTGAATAATGTGCTACAGTATATGAACATGTGTTTGTGTACATATATGCACATGTATATTCTACAGGTATGCATCGGAATGTGTTTCGGTTGATTAGGCAGAGCAAAATGAAATGCTCTTTTACTGATAGGGAGTTTCTGTGCGCTTCAGTGGCACTGCAGTATCTGTGTATAGAGTACAAATGCCCATGTACATTACATACATTTACATGTAGCCACACTATTTCAAGCTTTCCAAGTCGGTGCACAAACCTTGCCCAGCATGCTTGACCGTACACAGTAAGATAATGCCCTAGTTTGTTATTTTATGTACACGGCACCAGTAGCCCTGTGCCATTAACATACCGGAAGCCCAGTTCTTGCACACCCATTCAGATATGAGGTCAGTTTAAAGGCTTGATGACAACTTTTGTCCCTTTTTGTTACAAATTGGGAATTCATTATTTTTAGTAGTGGACACAGTCCTGTCTTACTGACCTGTGATGATCATAAATTCGTCAACAGCGCCCTCTGTTGAACCACAGCAACCTCACAGCTTTGCTTCATTGATCTTTTCTCAATCTTCAGGGGTGCTGATATTGGCCTAATGCTTCTTTAAATGTAAATGTCATTTTACTTGTATCCTTTTTTTCAGACAAATTGGAAAAGACATCACAAACACCTTCACAAAACTAGAAAAACTGACAATATGTAAGTATGAGGTTTTTCTCTTGAATTATCTTAGCAACCGATACACCTGTACACAGGTACAAGACTGTGTCATTCCACATGTGTAGATGTTTCTGGAGTTTCAAAGCAGAGTGAATTAATTCTTCGCAGAATTAGATTAATGTAAAGTAAGCAGAATTGAAACATTTCTCACCGGGTGTCACTCTTTAAGACATGCTGTTTGGGGATTGGGTTGAGGCAAGGTGTAATCTCAGTGTTCTCCATGCTCTAAATTCAGTTAGGACTCAAAGGAATGCATAAATGTACCGGTACATGTACGTACCAGTACATGTGCGTGGATACACTGTACAAACCACACATTCCAAATAGTTCCCTGCACATACTATACGTGTATTGTGAACATTGAAAAATGCCACCATTCGTTCAAGGTGGTACTCAGTTACCACCTCACTTTACAGAGATGCCCACCCACCCACCGCTGGTTGTACACTTTGTGTATGCAGTTTGGAGTTCATGCGTGGTTTTTTGTTTCAAATTCCCCACCTTCATCAGAACCCTCATCCACTCCTGTCTGCATTCCAACATTGAAAGTGTCAATGGCTTGCTGTCAACAGAGATTGAATGTCTCCTTTTCAACTGACTTGGCTAGTCTATATTCATCATTCCTGAAATATTCCAGATAATCTGTAATGTATTTTCCACCTGGGTCCTTTGCACTTGATCTTTATGGCCCATGACAGAGTTGAAGGGGCATGTTGTTTCTGCCTTGTTTTTGATAATAAAAATCTAGGAATCAGGTATTCAGATCCATTCCTGGCTGCCTTGCCTTTGTCCTACGGTACCTTTCTTGGCACAGATCATCCTCTCCATCCGAGCAATTACTTTTTCTTATTTTTCAGTTTACTTTCTGCTAAAAATCCCTCAAGGAATGACAAGAAAGCCAGAGACCTTCGTTGCCTTGCTCTGGCCAAGATCTCTTCTTAGAAGTTTGATTTTGACATGGAGGTTCCCCTTACCGAGGAATATCTCTCTTGTGTCGCCTATAATATTCAAATATTCAAATCCAAGAGCACTTAGTCCTAATTCAGCGTTGAAACGTGGGATGCACTTGCTTTAAATAATCAAATTGCTGCAATGAGCAGAGGAACCCAGTAGACTTGAGCTTTCCTGTATATCTCTGTCTTGATTCCATCTGTCAGAAGTAACATCAAATGGCTTGAAGATATTCATGTTTAAAAATTAAGAACTGTGCATGGTGTATGCATTTGTGTAGGCCCACGTGAGAAGTAAACGTTGGTTTAAATATGTTACATGTTGGCTTTTTAGCTTTTCCAATGGGTTTCACACGTTTGAGTTTGGTTTGTCCATTTGATTGCGGCACTTCATGTAAAGAGACATCATTGAATGGATGTCTCATTTTATCATTTCTCATTTATCATTTTGTAGATTCCATAAGGCTTTAGAAGAATTTCTGTTTTGACAATGTGACCAGTTGTGGATTCCATGATTGTCTCATTCACTAAAATCATATGCCAGACCATCATGAACTATAACATACATACCGGTATGTACATGTATCTTTCTCTTGTACTGAGCGCCGCATGTTCACACACGTACATGTAAGTAGCCGCGCCGAGGCTCACGTTAGGTATCAGATATCCTCATGTAAACTGCATGTTTGGTTACAAGCACTTTGAAAGTCAGCATTAAAGGTCCAAATAACTTTGTCTTCATGCAAGCGTATATTTCTCGTAACTGGAAAATAATTCAATCAAGGGAGCAGAGCATTTTCAAATTTGCGTGTAACAGGTTAATCCCACAGGAACCCTACTTTCTGTTCCATAAACCTTACTTCTGAAAAATTCATTTACCTACATGTACATGTACAGTACACGTATATCAGTCACAATATAGCCAAATACGAGTACCAAAAATATTAATTCTTGTGAGTCCTTGAACAATATTTGTGCAGTATTTCTCACCACATTGTCATATTCTGGAACAACCCGAGGTCCCACCTCAAAGTACATGTAATTTGTTACAGTAGCAGACCATGAACAGCTGTCATGTTCAAAATAAACATGATGAACACTTGGCCTGCCTCCACAGACCTCCTGGACATTCTGTGTGTACAAAACATATACGGGGATTACTTTGGGGATTACTTGGGAACGCTTGCAGTGTACCCAGCCAACTCTGTGTAAGAAGACATGTTGCAAGATTGTGTTATACACAGTTCTAGTGCCTTAAAGCATGGAGCTTCATATACATGTACATTGTACGTGGACAGTGTATTTAAAGCGTTTTTAGTGCCCACACAGAAAAGGCATTGGTGTTTTTGTGGTCGATGCTTTGCAGTTCCATACCTCCGGAGGAGAGGAGTTAAGGCGTATAAGACAGGCGTGCATAAGTACATTGTAGCGATTTTGTTGTGTTTGTTCAGGTCAGTCCAAACAAACTGACCCGCTGAATCCAGCTCACCTGCGGTTACGAAAAACCTGGAAACCTGTAATGCGTCTTGGATGATTAGGCGAAGCCTGCTCTCCCCTGCAGTTTGCCTGCCCCGGGTCTCCAAAGCTTCTGCTACACAGTGATTTGTTTGTCATTCCTTCAGTGTTAAAATTGGATTTAAATCCTTTAATCCTTAATCTTGGACATGCTGGAAACTACATGTATTTCTGATTTGCTTCACTCATACTTGTGTCATTTACATGTAGACAGACATATACCCGTGTAGTGAGTGTGGCAATTGTAGACATGTACATGTACAGTGTACCTGTATATGTACATGTATGTAGTGTCCTATATAGTGTCTAGTGCAGCTCTTCATTTTGCCATTTAAGAGATACGATGTACCGTATGCAATCTCAATTTCTGAGAAACAATCTTGAGTTTTAGAAGAGAAATTGGCAGCTGTAGTTGCTGTGTAGAAATATTTATAATTATTTCTTGCAAGTGGACTTTCCAGATGAAATGAACTACATGTACTCAATACTATTGAAGCAATAACTTGGAATCAATTTACATTGACTCAGTTGATAAGTAAATGTATGAGTCCATCCAGTGACAATGCTTCTAACAAGCTGTTACTGTACTTTGTAAATATACATACATGTACATGCATGCATCAAAGTCAAAAGCTCCCGAGCTTGAAGGTCACCTTACTGCATTTTGCAATGAACTGGAGATGTCTATATAGACAAATACAGACATGTACATGTATACATACATGTATGTGTTTCCTCGCAAAGCCTGAAACAGTCATAATCACAGGCAGACTACATGTACATGTATTTGCAGACACATGTACTGTGGATTCTAAATATGATTTTGTGTTCACTCCACTGCTCTACAAAATTATCCAGGTACAAGTACACATCTAGGCAGACAGGAAAATAGCAATATTTTTGTAACTTTGTGCTGTCTGTGTTGGCATGCATTATATTGTTTACTTTAGTCAGTAGTATTAGTGGGAATATTTTAATTAGTATTTTACATGAACTAGCTTAATTAATTCTGTTCAATTGATTGATTGATTTGATTTATTAAAATTTATTGTCCATGTAAAAAACATCAAAATTTGACTCCACTGGATAAAAGCACATTACCAAAATAAAACATGTTATAAAAGCAAATAAATATTATAACAAATTATCCACACACACTTGACACACATTAAATACAACTGTCAAACTAAAAGCCCACCAATTACTTGCCAAGAAGAAAAAAAAAGACATCAGACATACTCTGTTAAAGCGACATGTACATAAAACACATTGACAATGCCAATTCAACGCCTGTTGCCATGCAGGGCAAACAAGGCTCAGCCATAAATAAAATAATTAAAATTTAATAATTGCACAAAGGGCAAATTGATTAGTTACCAGTCGAAACTGTAACCTATAAAAAGCATGTTTTGGTTGCGCGTGTGGTTTTGGTTTTGTTGATTTTGTTGTCATTTTCATTATAATGTACGTACCGGTATTCATGATTTAAAAGATACAAATTCAGCAATAAACAGATTAAGGGCAGTAGTTTTAAGCCCTCATGCTCATTAGTTGGAGTTTGTTGACATGGTTCTAACACTTGTCATCAGGCCAGTGTAACTGTCCTTACTGTTTCGATGACAAATGTTTAGGCTTAGTATGGAAAGGAAGTGAGCATTTTGCCACAGCCAATGCAACCATGGAGGAAGGAGCATCTGCCGCCAGTGGAACCCAGTTCTTTGTACATGTACCTTGGTCATACTAAACATGCTAAACAATCACGCTAAACTCAAATTTATTGTAAGGCAGATGGAACTTTCATAAGTATTTATTTCATTACCACACATAATACCGGCAATTCACAATCGTGCATGCCCAAGAGTTTACAACGCGTTGGCCAGTCACAATGCACGAAATCTGTCTACACAGTGCACATTTGGAAAGGGTCAACAGATTTTGTGCATTGTGATTGGTCAATGCATTGCGAACTCTTGGAAGCACACTGTTGTGAAAACCCATATTTTCAGTGGCAGTATCATTCGGTTAATAGCTCATCTAAAATGTACAACTGCATCTTCGGGTCAAGCTTTAATTGCTAGTCAGCTGGCTCTTCACAATGTTTGTGTTCATGTTGGTCACACAATTGGTCACTCAATTTCATTTGAGTCACCAGAGTGAGAGGTGGGCTCATTTTCACGTTTTCATATTTGTCATGCTTGTCTAAAATGATACATTCCCAATATTTTTGCAACAGTGGCGAAGAGGAAATCTCTATTTGACGATAAATCTGTTGAGATCCAGGAGTTGACCTATATAATCAAACAGGACATCAACAGCTTGAACAAACAAATTGGACAACTGCAACAGGTGAGTAAATCCACACTCTTTGCCATTCCTGAATCTCACAAATTGTTAAACATGTACCTCTGTCTTGAATACTGAATTTCATTGGCCAAGTCCGATTATGTGACTGGACAATAAAAGGAATGTTACCCTCAAAGTTGGACATCGCATACCAGTGACATCACATTGTGATGTCACAGACTAGTCCCTGTGTTGCGTAATTTCCTTTGTTCCTGAAGTTGGCCGAGTGCGTTGCTGAATGGCAGTGATGTCTTTTCAAATGTGGCCAGATTAGTGTGCAGTGGTACTGTATCACTCGTCGTTAGAGTGCTGGAGCACTTTTGTGCCCGCCGATAATCCGCGGGTGCTGAATGCCGCAAACACTTGTATACTGTTTCAAAACAATGATGGATGTGCTAATGCCAGCTGAAAAATGATGGCAATTCCCAAGAGCTCGGTCATTTGTTCCGAGTAAGGTCCTCTGCAATAAGGCCCAGCTCATTTGTCCTATTTCGGGCACCCTGGCTATCCGTACAAACCCAAGGTACCCAGTACCGGGAATTCCGGCACCAAGTAGTTAACACCCTTGTGGAGTCATAGCACCCTTGGTTTTGCTGGGGAAGGGGGAGGGGTCCATTGGATGTTAAAACATTATATCTCTCATCATACTTGGAGCAGTCAATCATTGTTAAATGTCAGATAAACTGCGTGGGAGCTTGTCATGTGAGAATATCACCACTACTCATAACCTTTAGAGTTCTGGTGCCCCAAACACATCCTTAAAATCCTCCTCTCTTTAAAGTTGAGTTTAATGTTTCACATTGTACCTTTGAGCACCTGATGCCTAGTGTGGCTTGACAGTAGTTCCTTCAGTCACTCTATGAATTCAGTGTCATCTGCCTTCCAGTATGTACATGTAGTAATTATTACCCATATCATGACTAACGTGGCAGCTTCTCTTCGCATTGAAAAAAAAAAAAATTGTCGTTTTGGGAGTTCATTTCCACTACGAGAATGCTGAGAGGAAAACAGTGCATTAATGAGGGCGGCAAACAAATCTAAAAATTTGATGATGTCACAATGCGGCTCTCGCTCCCCCAGAGTTTCTTGACCGTGCGGCCATAACAGGGAAAAAATGGATAAAGTACATGTAAGTTAGATGTCATTCTCTACAAAATGACCGCGGCCATCTGCCTGAAATTCATCAGGAACTTACTCCTGTTCAAATTGGGAGGGTTCAATTTTATCGTATGTGATGATCAACATTGTTGATAGAAAGGTGATTCCAAGTCACTCTGTCTGACCTCTTTTAATCACAGTTACGTACGAGGAAGCTCAGTGCTCACGTACATGTGTGCAGGCGTGTTGGCCCTGAAATAATGAAACAGTTGTATAATTGCAGAGCCATAGTGTGACAGCATCAAAACAGGCTTCAATTGGATGATCCCAATGAATTGCAATTTCAGTTTGCCTGATATGAAGCTGTGGCAAATGTCACTGCAGATGTTTTATAAATATGCTCGCATAACTTTGCGCACATACATATACATGTATACTCGTACATGTAAATGTATGGTTCTGTACATGTACATACCGGTATGTTCATGTCCAGCATGTACAATGCAAAAATGTCAAATTGCATGCAGGATTTTCTCTCTTTGAAAGATTTCTTTATTCACAAGATGTGAAAAGCCGACTGTGAAATTCATAAAAAATAGCAGCCTTCCTTGAAGCATACACGTTTAACTTGCAGCCGGCACCAAGTTGGATTTGTGGATCCTCTTACAATGTACATGTATCTGCCCACTTTTATGATATTTTAGTTTTTTAAGTTTACAACTTGCAAATTCTGACCACAGTAAATGGGAAAAATGGGAAGGAAATTCCACTAAAGCCAAGTTACTGGTACATATGCATGTAATTTGACTTCAAAAGGATGTTAAAAATTGAAATTCAGACCTTAGCCTGTTTGGAGTGGTCACTGTTTGGACTGTTGCCACATACATGTACATACTACCGGTGCATGTACATACATGCTTGCACATCTCACAGCGGAAATTCCTGCAAAATCCCAACACGTTTGACATGTTTGAGGATGTTTCTCATATTATACAGCATAAGTCACTTTGTTCATTCAGTATGTGTAGATTAGACTCTGCACTGTGCACATGCTTTTATCATCATTAGCTGGTACCCTACTTTCATCCTGTACCGGGTAGCTCTTGTCGGAACATTCCTACAGTCTGAACTCTGTGAATTGATCATCCACTTCCCCCCAAGACTCCAGCAATGGGCTTTTTCTCAGTGTGAGAGCACAGACGCGCACAGCTGTTTGCTGACTTTGCACCCAATCCTTTGTCTGGCCGAACCGAGACAGCCGAGTTGGAACTTCTCTCTGTCTCCTTTTGGAGCTGCGCCTCAAGTTTCCTGCCTGAAAACCGCTGATTGTGACCCGCAAAACGTGTGATCCTTTTAATAAAATCCAGGCATGAGATAACAGGAAGATTTGCTATTCAGCCTTTTTCTTGCCAGCGAGCAGTGTATAACTTGAGACTTCCTCTGCACAACAAAGACCGGAACCATTTCCATGAAATGCATCAGGCTTGAACCTTGATCAGTGCACCCAATTTTAAAAATATCTCTAATTTTATTAGCAATTTCTAAAGACCACCCTCCTCAAAAAAGACCAAAAAGGAAATATGAACTACATTGTACATGTAGATGAATAGTGTGCTCTTCATACAGGTAGATCGATATGGTATTATTTTGTTAAACAGTTGCCTAGTACATGGACATGTACATGTAGGTATTACGTGCTGTTTAGAAAAGACTGCATGTTTATCTTGATAGAACACAAGTGTGCATCAGCCCATGAGAATGCTTGGTTGGATGAGAATGGAGAAAAATGCCAAGAACCATAGGTGACTGCATCCTGAAAACCAAAGACATGGATGCTTTGCTTTCCTCCTGCCAAATAGGAGACTGAAAAGACTTCTCTTTAGTTTGTTCGATTTTTCAAAAACGTTGTTTTCGTCGTGTTCACCTTGGCACGTGTACTCTGCATTTGAAGGTTGAAATGACGCACTTCATGTACCTGCTTACAGAACGTAATCCTCGATTTTGCATCCAATTGAAATGCATGCCACGTAAAATCATGCCCATATTCGGACTCAAAATGAATTTACATGTACAAGTTGTCAGCCCGTCCTTCCAATCAATGCTCCATACCCAACTTCTCTACACTGTGAGCACATTTGTATGAAATATTCAGTACCAGCCCAAATCATACCAAGATTTTCAAATGCATGCACTCGTTGGGTACCAGATGCCTAAACTGGGGTTAGGATGTAATGTAAATTCAATTGAATGTCAATGGATTTCTTCTCTCTGCATACATGAAAACATGTCAATTACCAAATGGTCAATTCAGGGTACCCCTAACCCCCTAGGGACCATTGAAATCCTCTATAACCTTGTTGGGTTCAGCACGGTTAGGGTTAAGGTGTAATAGTCCTCCACCATGGATTTCACAGTATTATGGTTTATTCGTTTTTAACTTGTTACTGGTATGGATACATGTACATGTACACAAGTAGCGAAATTGAAACAAAGTCAGTGTTGTTTGTGAAGTACATGTATGTGTACGTGTACCGGTACATGTACATCTTCTTTTAAGCTTCATACATGTACAAGTAGCAGAACGAAGTTTTGGTTACATGTTCATGTTCATTGGACATTTTGCCTGAATTTACCAATTGATTTTCCATTTTTTGTACTGTGCATGTACATGTACATGTATGTGTACTTGTTAATGTACAGTAAGTACATGTACATACCGTACCGTACATGTACGTGTACATTGTACACTAGTTTGTGCACATGTGAACAGTTCATACTGCTGTGTGCACCAGTGTAAAACTCTTTTTTACTCAGCTGCTCTGATCCGTGGGATCCATCCGTGTTGTACTACATGTACTGCAGTTGTCTGGTTGTGTTGATTTGCATGGATTGCTGTTTTATACAGGTTGTACGCCAGCGAAATTCCCAGAATGGCCGCCATATGCAAACACATTCCAATACGGTGGTTTTGGCACTGCAGTCAAAGCTGGCCAACATGTCCAATGACTTCAAGACAGTACTGGAAGTCAGAACACAGGTAACTCCCTCCCGGCTCCCTCCCACCCCCATCATACATGCACATGTACATTAATGTCCCACTCCAAAGCCACTTTCTTCCTCCCAGAAGTAAAATAAATGCACATGCAGTAGTTTTAGCTTCTCTGTTAAAAAGTGTCAGAATTCCTGCAATGTAGCTGGTGCGTTTTGTTTAACCTGTTGATCCAAATGCGACATATTGACCAATTTGCAGTTGTGTGTTTCCAGACACTCTTTTTTTCCCGTTATCAAATTTGTGACCCCAAATCCTGTGAGAACTGAGACTGGGCTCTTTCCAGAAAGTTATTTTTTAATTTTTAGTAATGTTTATATCTTATACACCTGTAAGAGCCGTCAGAGCTCAGATGACAAAATGTTTATTATTTGTACATGTATGTGTGACTGATTCAGAAGCTATTGTCTTTAACACTTTTACCATGTGATGGGTTTTCCCAGTTTTCACATACAATACTTGTATGTCCAGGCTGTGGACTTCCCAGCTGCCACACTTGATGATGTGCTGACAGAGTCTTGGCCGTATTTGCCTGTCAGTTCAATACACTTCAAACTGTCTTTGTCCTTCCAGTAACTTCATCATTTTATCGCGTTTAAAATGAAGAAAAGGAGGGGAAGCAAACGGATGGTGTGCTGTAAATCTCATCATTCTCTAATGTGTTCTTAATCTCACTGCATTTGGCTGAGATCTCCCTCCCTATATTGTTTGCGTATTGTTTGTCACGTTCTTTGTGTGCATTGAAAGCCTACTCACTGGATTTTTTTTCTCCTTCCCTGCTGATGAATGTAGAACCTGAAGGATCAGAAGGACCGGAGGGAACAGTTTTCCCAGGGTCCTATCGCCTCAAGTCTTCCACCATCTGCCATCAGTGCCTCAGGTAACAGCCAAATTTTGTCCATTTGACCTTTAGTTTTTGGTTTTTTAAACCACCTTGAGATCTTTTGAGTGTCTGTTTTGGAGCCTAAAAATATCCCCGCAGGATAGAAGATGTCAGCTAACTGGCAGAAAATGTAGCTTGGAAAGGGCCAGATGTTATAAAGTTAATCCTAAACTGAAGTTCAAGAATTCTTTTGAAATAAAAATCTGATGATATGGCTGAAACCGCAGTTTGACTTTCCAACCGAATATTGCGGCCAACCTGACCAGAAAAATCTAGATAATCCAGTGAAACCTGAATATCATGGCTGTCCTAACCACTGAAACGTTGGTATTAAGGCCATTTTTAAATCAAAATCCAGTCAACCTCTACATTGTAGCCAGCCTGTCTAGTGAAAACTGAAATGTCCAATAATACCTGTTCACTGTGGTCAGCCTTCTAAATTGAACCTGGACAACTTGTCCAGAAAACAAAATGTCAAATCATAGCCAAATGTCAAATTTAACTTCAGTATATTGGGTGAACCTCTCAAGTAAAATGCGAGAAAGGTCATTACCTATCAATTGTGCTCACCTGTCAAACTCACTGCATAATATGGACACATTTTGAATAAGTTGATTTGAACTTTTGGTTATTTTGGCACTGTTTTCCATACCCCCAGGAGGTTCAGTTCTCCTCCAGGAGGAGCACAAGGGCGACTTCTCCATCGACATGAGTGGGGGGATGGATGGCCCCCGCCACCGTGGTGGTGGCCCCATGCAGCAGATGGCCCTGGTTGAGGAGCAGGATAACTACATCAAGAGCCGGGAGGAGACCATGCACAGCATCGAGAGCACCATCGTGGAGCTGAGTGGCATCTTCCAGCAGCTTGCCCACATGGTCAAGGAACAAGAAGAACAGGTGCAACGGTAAGGATAGGGGACGGGGGGAGGAGGATCCCATTACTAAGGAATTCAGCCTTTTTGAGTCCGTGATCAAATGTCCATTTTTGTACAGTTTCATGTACGCAAGTGATATTAAAGAGGTCACAGCAAAGCTTAAACCATCAAAACTATTCCACTGGACCATTCCCCCACCCATCCGTCCCCTCCCCGAAAAACAAATTATAAATTCACCAAAGTACATGTACCTGTACCTGAGAGAAAATGTTACTAATCGATTTTTAAGTAGAAGAAATAAAAATGAGAGATGTTGCCTCAAGGAACGATTCTTGTTAGAAATGAATGTCAGGCCAAAAGTCAAAACTTTCAAAAGGCTACACTTCATCAGCCAAATACCACAAAATACTGGCACCTGAAAGTCAACAGTAGGACATTTCTCCCTGCAGCGTCCTAATTTGCTGTGCACTTTGAAGCCCCCGACTAAACGAATACTACAAGGCACAACAGGCCATGTACCTTGGTCAGGTTGAATTTCATCACACAATATGCCTCCACAGACTTTCCAGATGTTTTTGCGTGTGCACAAAACAAATGAGGGATTAGATATTTATTCATGTCCACATTGACAATGACAAGTTTATGTATTTCCTCGATACGAGGATAAGCCAAACTTTAATAAAGAGCCCTCCTGTTCAGCTAACTCACCAGAAGCTGTCTTGTTTTTTCTTTGGCTCAACAGAATTGACAACAACGTTGAAGACACGGTGATGAACGTGGAGGCAGCCCACAGCGAGATCCTCAAGTATTTCCAGTCGGTAACCTCCAACAGGTGGCTCATGGTCAAAGTCTTTATCGTTCTCATCGTCTTCTTTGTCATATTTGTCGTATTCGTGGCCTGAAGCCCCGTCTCACAAATGAAGCCCAGACACTCAACCCAGTCACCCAAACAGTTAATTCATTCGGGATGGTTTTTACCTCAAACTGTTTACAATGTCTCTCTGCCTCGTGTCATTTATAGGAGATAAAAAGTCAATTTGAAATTGTCAAATTTTATGGATTGAGAATTGAAATTTGCCTGGTCTTTGTTTTTATTTACTTCTGTTGTATTTGCTTCTGATGTGTTTTCCGGTGGTATCTTTACTGTTTATGTCAAAATTGCAGCAGACAAAAACTTGCAAGGGTTGGAAATTTCATGATGTGTTACTTTTCCAGTTTACCCTTCACTTATCTTGCTGAGGTGGATAGACTTAACAAAGTGTGACTTTTGTGAAGTCTTTTATTTGCATATATATATATACTGACTTGAAGTAATTCACTGCTCCTATGCCAAGCTTTTAAAGTCAGCACTGGTGGTATCACCTTAATCTCGTCAACTGAGCTGCATTTCAAGGTTGTGGCTGGGGCAAGAAACGGCATATGCACTGTGGGAGTCACTAGCTTGGGACTGTGGCGCTTTTCCGTGGATGCTTGCGCTGTCCGCCGTCACTGGCAAGTACTGGCTGAATATGTCAGGCTGACACCCCCTCAGTAATAAGACTTCAAGATGCTGATGACGATGGCGTGCCAGTTGTGTGAAATGCCTGCGCTCCACTGCACGCACCTGCCATTCAAAGACGATTCAGAGTTTTTGCTCATTCGATCGAAAATTGGCTGTACAAGGCCAGACACTGCATGCCATTCACCTGAGCAAACAAATTTATGCACATCGGTAATGTGTCCTTCCTTTGGCTCTTGAGAAGCTAGTCAGTGCCGTTGTCATCCATCAGTTTGGTACCTAACGTCTGTACAGTGACAACACAAGCAGCCATGCATTCAGCACGAGTGCTGTACTATGGCTGCCGACCTTTTTTCTAACCCTCCTACATGTACATGTAGGTCCCTCAAAACCCACCAGAAGGTTAACCAGAATTCTTTTTGCATGTTTGGAGTTACCCACAGCCAAGCTCTGGTTTGGATGAAATGATTTGGATGAAATAAAGTGTGTAGAGAATGTGCCAGTGGGTTTCCTTGGAACAAGTTTCATTTGAACTTTTGGTTATTTTGGCACTGTAGGATTTGGGAAGGTTCCTACTGCAATAGAGGCTGGGGATTTAGGACTCATTTGCAATCATGAAGCTAGGTTGCAATTTGATTTTCTTTGACAGATTTCAAAATCGATACATTGTAAAGTGCACAAACATGTACAGTGTACTCACACTGTCATGCCGAGTCCCAGGAGAAGAGTTCCAGTTTGATTGCTTCAACAGTATGTTTCGGTTGAATGTGAATCCCAGCAGTTCCAAATGTCAACTCACTCCTCTACCTTATCGAAATGTTATCTCATTTTTCTCCTTTTGGTTTTTCTAATACCCCACACAATTTGCCGCTCGGTCAGGTCAGATTGGCACCCACTCTCAGTTGTTACATTTGGCCAGCAAAAACACATCACGCAATTTGAGCTGTACCCCATTGTCTCCAGCCGGTATCAAATTTCGGTCATTTCTAAGGGCTCACTAAGACTTTGCTTCAGATAATGCCGAGACAGTGGGAGTCGGGCGCTTGTAATTACGGATATTTGAAAGGTACGCCCACCTGTTCTCTGCACCTGTTGTTCAAAGACGGAGAGGTCCTGCTGTCACTGGTAATTCATGTAATGAGATACAAATTGTGGTGCTCTGAGAGACTTCTTAATTGTCTCCAGGTAAAGTCCAAGTTTATTAATGCAGCTGTGAAGGCATGACAGTCTAAACTTCAAGGGACGCCTCGTGTTAGGTTGCGCGCAATAGCCTGTTGGACAAAAAATATATTTTTTAAAGAGTGAATTGGGTCATCCATTCAGGGAAACACCCACTTGCTACTTAGCCTTTTCCCTACCAGCAGTTTTCTTTTCTTTGTCCTTCTTTAAGAAGGGCAGGGTTCACAAGAGAGGTAAACTTCATCAGAGTTGAGCAAATTTGAACTGTGCCAAAAATTGGGATTTTGAAGATCACGTCTGTCACTTTGTTTGCCACAGCCACCCAACCCCATGTACAACATGAAAGGGTAGTTTGTTTCTTTGTTAGTGAGGGATCAGTGGCTTATCAATACGGGGAGGGGGGTGGGCAAGGTGCCAGGAGTTGAAAGTGTCAGCATTCATGAAACAGTACTATCATCTCTCTCGGGGGGGTCTTTTGCAGATGAAAAAATTGACAGTTGTTTTGGGGAAAAAAAATTCAGTTCCCCCCAAAAAAGACGGGGGGGGGGAGTGAACAAACTCTTTCCCCAACCACACTTCTATGGGATTTTTGTGTTGGTGATTGTGAACTCGCATAACAGAATAAGTGGCTGAAATAAGTACCAGTGTGTCCCCCCAGGAAATTCTCCCCATTTGAAATACATAAACAACCTATGCTGCAGCTCATTGTCTTTTGGTGCCCCCTTGAAAAAAATGTGCACACCCCCGGGTGCCCCCCCCCGATATAATACCCCTAGTTACGCCACTGCCCTTGAGTTGAGCTGAGTTGGAGATGCGAGATGGATTTTTTGTTGTATGTTGCTAGTGTAACTGTAGTGAATATATTCCTAAATTCATGTTGCTGCCGATGTTCAGAATACATCGACTAGGATGTCTCCTGTTTTTTAAGCAGCTATATTGTTGGCCTTACAAACTCGATTATTGCACCCCGCTCCCTCTGTACATGTATCTATTGTTGTTTTGGTCATTTTTATTGCATTTCACTGAATGGCCACTGTGGCCTGAATTTATATGTATACACGTATGTGCTATCGAGGCTTGGAATTGTAGCCATCTTGCAGGGCAGTTATTCCCCCCCCCCACAGGGAAACCTCCTTTGTGCATACCCTGTGGAACAAAAGCACTGGCCCGCAAGATTGCGGCCGTGTAAACCCTCTATAGAGTCAGGCAGAGATTGGTCTGGCGTTTTACATGTAGGCATGTTTACCCACCTGCTGCTTATTCCCATGCCGTTCTTGTGGGAAGGCCCTGTCATAGTCTAGGAAAGATTCCAGCCAAAGTCAATATTAAGTTCAGTCTATGTTGATGGTGATATTACCGTATTGTCTTCGTAGCCACAAGCCTATGTCACTTGCACAAAAATGTTGATGTGCTACCATGCAGATGGTGTCGATTCGTGGTGTCGATGACAAAATATGTGCCAATTTCTTATTACTGATTCTGCAAATGGGTATCGTCTTGTGGCTTTTAAGTTTAATACTGACCTCCCCCCTCCCAAGGTTATTTGCCGGGCACTGGGCTGATTTTCGCTTGCCACCTTAAACGATAATTCAGTTCTAAATGTCAGGCTTTCAACATACCAACCACACACTTATTCCTTCATTTTCAGGCCTTTATTTTATCCCTGTTTTCGGTTATGGTTAGTCATACAAATGCCTCTAATTTGAATGCGTCGACCCATGTTTTCATCCCATCAATTTTCAGAGGTGGTTTTGTTGCAGCTAAATGCAGCGCTCTCTTGCTTTCACTTTATTCAGGTTTTTATATAGCAACCTTGCATAATGGAACGAGTCACATTACACGGGGCCTTTCTCTCCTCGTATGTAACGTTTTATTTTCACACGTGTTATTAATCTTGTTGTTTTGTATCGAAGTCCTCGAAATGTCAGGCCTCCAATATTGAAGTCATTCTCGGTGTGATTTTGAAATTCATCTGCCGTTCATATACATGTATTCCTTGTTGGACGTTAGTGCACAATTGCAGTTGTTCCTTGTCTTTTAGATATTGGAGGGCCTCGTAAACCGGGATTTTTCCAATCGATTCGGTCATTGTTCAGATTGCAGAGGGTTCGGGGGTGTTCAAGAAGAGAATATTAAACATGATTTTTTTTTTTAAGGCAGACAGCTTGTATGACCTTTGAGTGACCCTTTCGTGGGTTCGAAAATTCGCTGCTCTCCCTGTTTTTAATTTAATGAAAGAGTAACATGTCCAAGGAGTTGCAGTGGATTTCACTCGCCCATCATTGAAGTACCATTTCTCTTCAATAAACTGTTTGATTGTCTTCAAACACAGAAGTGTATCGTGGTCTGGAAAGCAAGGCCACTGATATTTCGAGACACCCACCATGTACCGACAGACTGACGAATAACTTTATTGAGAGAGTGCTCTGCAGTGAGATAAGATACCGGTTCGGGTCCAACCGCTGTCCGTTTTTATGTATCGCATTCGAAACATTTTCGATACCGAACCTGGTCACTACCGCTGGCTTCTTTCATAATTTATAATTCACCTTGAGAAAAAATACTCCCTAAAGGTTTCTTTTCATCGTGTAGACATACTGATCGCATTGGTAGGGACAATTAGGAGGTGGGTTTCTTGCTTGCATTCCACTCTTAAAAAATACAAAACCTCTACATGGGGTGGAACTGTCTTACGTTCTGCCGCATCTCGAGGGACTTTGATCAAATGGATTGGCCAATTAGTTCACCCTTGATATGATTCCCTCTACGAAGTTACAGGCAAATACCTCGAGCAAGCTTCCATGGCTGTTTTCCCGCGCTTTGGCACTATTTATAACAATCCAGCCGACAGGGCAACAGGCTTGTGCACCCTTGAAGTTGCGCCGGTCTTCCTGTTGGCCGTTTTTTACAGCTTGAGACCATCTGTTCCTTGATGTGGTCCGTGTAACCTAGAGAAAAGGGCTTCACGAGATATCTCTTCGCCAGCAAAGAATTTGGCCAAAGCAGAATGTAGTTGTCCAAGTCCAAAGTACTGATATGCGGGGTACACAGCCTGGGTTGGCTAGTGAGACAAATTACTTAGATTTTTTCCCGTAAAGGCCTATGGTATATGATGTAGCCAGCAAACTTTAAGTACTTTTTCAGCCCTCGTTTTTTGAGGTTAGTCCCATGTACGTGGACAGTACACTCTATTAATTCAGATTTGTCCCTGTAAGCCAGCTTTTCCCGCATTCTACTCCTGTCAAAATCCTTGTAAATCTTGTACATTTTATCGTTTATTTTAATAATTTAAGTCGATTTATTTTAATGATTGTCATTACTGCACTAAGCGTCACTATTCTAAGCTCATATTTCAAAGCAGAACAAATGTATTGTAACGTAAATAAAGATGATCATGAATAAAAATATTAACATTAGATAATTTGCAGCCAGTTTGTTTTTCTGCTTTCATTTCATGATGTTTACAGGATCGGGCATTTTAATGACCTTTTATAATTATGGTGCCCAGATTGGCAAAACAAAACAAGTATAGTGTTGAGATTTTGTTGACGCATACAAGCCACCCTCAGCACCCCTGAAAAACAGCCGAAATCAAGAAAATGCAGTTTATGAATGTCAAATGAGAACAAGAGTATTTAAATTTGGGTGTTTTTCAGCAAAGAAACCGAGACTACGTGTATCTGTAATTCTGTTTTCCATTTACGGTTTAATGTAATTTTCCGTCGTCTCGAGACATGAAAAGGACGTTCGAAAATCTGACACTCGATGGTAATGTGTAGACAAGCGTCAATAATCTCGAGATGCAGTTTTAACTGGACGTGTTGTATTCTAGTAAGTTTATCAGATGGAGTGTTTAAGTTACATGATAGCAAAATCTGCCAAATAATTCTGTTGTCAATTCTGCAATTTGCATTACAAGAGGCCCTCTCTGTTAAGGCGAATGTTGACTTTATCATGACCGGCGATACACTCCCACGGTTGGCCATCTGCGAAGCGAGCCCCGTATATTTTTGTTTTCCCGGTTCAAGACAGGCTCACCGACGGTGCTCTTTGTCCTCACAGTATTTCCAATTTTGATTCTGGTTGTTCCGGATTAGACTGCATAATAATGCAGACGTGATAGGCAGCAACTTCGAGGCGCCATTTAGGCTGTGCCGCATACATATGTACATGTACTTGCACGTTTACTACCGGTATGCAACTCCTGTTTTCCTGATTCATATTCACATTTCTACAGAGGATCTTTCACTGTTGCCAGGACGCACATGGCAAATATCAAATCTTGTGGGCCTAATAGATCTGATCTCAAAAAAATATTAAATCTCCCATTATTATTGTATTCGGAAGAAAAATGTTTCACTACTGCAGATTAGTACATTTGTGGCTAATTTCAGGGATACTTTGCCCACATTACTCCGTTACCCTTTCCCCACCCCGTCAAGTTTTCCCCCGTCAAGATGGAATGGCTCTTGTACAGAAGCAACACAAAGTAGGTTTCAATCAAAATCTGGATTGAAACCTGAGACACTTCTCATGCAGATTGATGTGTTGAAATGGCAGTGGCCGAGGGGGCAGGGTGCCATTTACATGCACGTTACCCTTTCACTCTGAAACGCAAGTGTGCCATATCTCCGAAAAACATAATAATCACCATTACCGCTTGACAGAAACAAACCTGCAGGGACTCGGACAAGAGAGGGGAAGTCCCATAAAGAAAAAACACGCGGCATTCTTAGAGTCGTAGGCCTAATGATACCAGTTGCAATTGGTGAGCGTTATTACAATGAGAGGTCTAACAGTTGTGAGGGGTCAGAAAATACGCTTGTTGGTTATTAAGCAAGCTTAATTGTACTGAAATGGGTCAAGCACGGAGTTAAGTAAAATGTGCTTAAATATCAGAGAATGTTCTCCTCGGTGAGTTACTTCGACTTGTTCACCTGCGGGTCTGTTCTTTCAAGTGCAAGTTGGTTATGTCAACATTATCAAATTAAAATGTTTTGAGTTTCACTTTTTGCGATATTTTGCTTTCCATCCAAGCCCCGCCCACGCATCAAGTGAATTCAAAGTTCAGCTTTTTTCCCCGAGGCTGAGTTCGCGGCCTTTCCTCTAGTGGCAGTGAACCTATCATCTTTATTCATTCAGAAAATGCTCGGCAACAGCCCTGCATGAGTCAAACACTTCCATTCATGCCAATTTTGACAAACGCCTCTACATGCTGAGCGCATGCTCACAACTCATCGAGCTGAATCACGTGGTGTGGTGATTTTCTATATAAAAGAAAAAAAAAACAGCCGTCCTCTACGATTTTTTTTTCGGTCACGGAATTTCAGCATTCAGTGACGAAACGACCCAGGCCTGACTTTGCGTTTCCCGAATCTTTCCCCGTGCTGCGAGCCTTCAGGAAGACAACTTTTCCCGATAACCAGAAAGGTATGTCCGCCAGTCGTTTCGTCGTGATGATCTTAAACCTCATTGATACCATTGTTGATTTGTCTCATCTTTGTACTTTTTATCGCATGTCAGTGAACTACAGACAGCCGCACAAGTTGGAGATTCAAAAGTACTACTCTGTTTAATATACTAGAGTAGAAATTCAATAAAATACCAAAAGTTATTAATTACACTTTGAATGGTAAAATAACTTACTGGTTTCTTTTCATTATTGCTTTACAACTTGCACGTTTTTGTTTTTAAAAGATAATATCGTCCAAAATCGTATCTGCATATTCCAAATGTAGATTGTTACCGTTTGTAATGTTTTAGGCTGCGAGACTCCCGGCCCAAAATGACCTTCTTTTGAAAGGCCAACCAATAACTGACCAAATTTTCAAATCATCTCCTTTTCTTTTTTATTTTTCACGAAGGATTTTACCCCTTTTTCAACTAGTGACAAGACGCAAAAAGTGGCATATTTGGTGGTGTTTCAGCAGCCACAATGAATTTTTAAAAAACGGTGCATAAACTTAAATGGTGCCATTTTGACGCTTGTACGTCACTGGCATGTATCCGGGTTTGGGTTCAGAGAGACAAGGTGGGCCGAAGAAAAAAAAACACCAAAAAAATTTTGTTCCTCGTTTCCTGCTGCATCTTGGATATAGTACAGAACTATAAAGTGAGTGGACATTAAAAATAGACACAGGTAAGAGAGAGATTGCTTCCCACTGAATGAAATGCTGTTCCATCAATAAACACAAGCAATAATAAATATATCCTCTTCACAAATCGAGAAAACAATACCGGTATTAGTCGCTTTTCAAGATCTTTGAGTCACTAATACATCAAATTAAAGGTATTTTCCATATCTTGCATTTCTTGGGTGGGGCAGGGTAAGTGGGAGAATGTTTCCTCGCAGATATTTGCCATCTAAAGAAACAGAACTGAATTTTATTATTAAATTTCTGCCAAATTTCACAGCAAGCAAGCTCACAGTCTTGTTTACTGCTTCATCCTATATTTAAATCCTTTCAAGTTCTTGGGCCAAAGGAACCCTCTCGAGACATAACAGAGAATTTTGAGGGCAGGCGAATGACATCTTGTTTTGCCTACTACAGGACTATTTTGGGCCTGTTGTTGTTTGGCGCCCTGCCTACAGTAGGATAATCCTAGTATGTGTGCTGTAGGGGCCTATAGATGAGCTGTTTTCTTCAATCGGGTCGGTTAATGTAATGCGTCGTCACGTCTAATAAGATTTGTGCCCTTGTAATTGTGTGAGAATTGCAAACTGTTTCAATGGCGTTGTCATCAAGCTTTTGTGCAACCGCACCTCTCCCCGAGTCCAAACTATCACCCCGTGATTTATCAAAGGGAAGGAGGAGGAGAGCATGCCGCTCTATTTAAGGGGGATGATGGTCGATTGAGAGGCAAAATTAAGACGCCGATTTAAATTACGCTTACCGCGTCAGCATAGCCAAAGTTTGCAGTTGAACAGCAATCGCTTGCAGTAAATTACATGTATCAGTCAAGAGGTAAGCGAAACCTTGGCTTAAAGGTTAAGCGCCTGCAGCTCCCACAGGTGACACTTGGGCTCGTGGTCTATTATCATTCGCCAGCTCCACTAAAAATAGGCTTACATGTATTCTTATTGGCTCTTGTACGAAATGTACCACAATATGGATTTATCCACTTCTCAACAATGTAAGCTTCGCACTCTCATAAAGTAACAGACAGCTTGGATAGAATCATGCCTAAACTAGACTTGCTTCCAAGCGTCAGCGCCGTTTTCAGTCGCTGGGTACATGTAGGCCTACGCATTGTTACTTCCTCCTCAATCCACACTTACAACAGTTGCGAAAAGAAATAGCGACTCATCTATGATATAATTTCCGAGAATACACTCTGACGGGTTGACCATGTTTATGCTGGTCCAACTGGTGGGTTGAGCGAGTTTTAGCCCTAATTTTTTTGTAGGTAATACATTTTTGCCCATCGCGATGTTGCGGGCTAAGGCCTAATGTTCACGAGATCTGCTTGATAACTACAATCAGAAGAAACAACTCGCTTCGTCTGATAATTGACATTTTATGCCGGTAGAGTGGCAAGAAAGTTCTTGGGGCGTGAGGCCAACCAGTATTTGCTTTCCCCGCTGAAAATCACCGGCCATGGAAAATGGAAAATCACACAGGGCCGATGGACATCATTTTGGCATGTAGGGCACTGCTCACAATTATTTTGCGCCTTTGATGCCTTTTTTCCTACCTCTTTTTGAGTCTAGTTTGTGGCCTGCTATGTTTCCCTGCAAAATGAACTGCCAGATATTGGTATAGACTACGTGATTCCGCTGCTTTGATTCTGATAAAGCACCTCGTATTTATCTTCCAAAATGCACCTTTGCTCATTCTTAATGCCCCCTTCCTCTTTCAAGCTTTCAAAGCTGATCAGCCGAAAAAGCAAATTGTACTTACTCCCCCCACCATCCTTCACCCACATCTTGTCGCTATCGATGCCGGGTCTTGTGTCAATATGCCAGGATAGACTGATTCCTGCGGGTCTATGTCCTCTGCGTGGAATTGCACAGTTAGATAAATTGACTGGGGTTAAAAGGATAAAGAAATCGATGCGCCATTTTGGTAAACGAAAAATCGATACTGATGATCGGCCCGCAGCAGTTTTTACGTTTTGTGGCATCTCTCTCATGAAAGTGAGATGAGACAGGGACTGGTATCCGCATGGAAGTGTAACAGAACGGATGGGTGCCTTAGGTATCAGGGTAATAACGGAGGTGTGTGTTGCTTGCCGCTAGGAAGGAAATAGGGGCAGATGACACATGATCGTGTTTGAGGTGTAAATCAGCGGGTAATTGTTAGTAGCACTATGAATCCTTTAGCAGGACTTCTTGTAACTTGGGGCCGTCAAGGGGTCAGCCTATTACAGAGACCTTCTTGCTCGGAAGACGCGGCAGTTTCATGCTGTTTTTGTGTCGTAGTATTAGCTTTAGCGTTAATGAAATAAAATCCTTTTGCAAAGTCTGTAAATGCAGTGATATCTCATTGACAAACTGAAACAAAACCAAACATGAGCTGTTCCATTCATCTCCGACACTATCGTTCTTATTTCTTAACAGTATGCGTTTTCTCCCATGAACCTTTACCGAGCCGCCTTGAAGCATTTACATTGCGCCCAATCAGCCCATTCAATAAAATTTCAACATCTCAGATAGATCTGTGGCATATTAAGCTAGCAGCTCCTAATTGCTTGCTTCCCAAATGTCTCCATTTGTAGCATTGTAAGACATCATGGCATCTCACTTCCACCTATGGGGACTTGCCCCTAGCCTGTCTCCTTTACAACTGATACGTCAAAGTCGTATGCTCTTTAAAAAGTGAAGTGTTAAATCCAACATTGTGAACGCATTCAGTGATCACTCCTTTAAAATGTTGCATCCAATGCTCTAAATTTCACGTCCAGCCTTACATATTTAAAACAACAGCTAAATCCGGCAATTCACGTATTAATTTAACATTTTTTTCATGGATTTCTTGAATCAGCAGAAAAAAACGATTTTTTTGGTATGGATTTTGGTGGGTTTTTGGGTAGTGTTATTTTGGTTATTTTGTATGTTTTTGTTTTTTGGGGGTCTGTACCTTTGGCTGGCCGTCAGTACAAAAGCTCAAAAATTGTTACTCCTCTAACACTACTATCAAAACTCTGCATAATAGGGTCTATACTGTTAAATAACAACATTTGCATTGGGGACACTTTTTGATTACTTTTAGGGAAATATGTTACCCAACAATGATAAACTTTCCGCAGACTTTGGCTGCCCATTCGCACACATGGTATAGGCAAAATGAGAGAGGTGTTCACATGATACATTGCGCAATTTTGAATTCAAAAAGACTTCCCACGAGAAAATGGTTAAAACGCTCACCGATGATGAACCGAGATTTATAGGACAAATCCACTCATCCCTTTGAGGGTGTGGAAAATAACATGCCCTGCTCCTGCACAATGGATATTTTCATTTTATTCATAGAAAATTTAACAGTTCATTGACTTTAAATTTGCGATACAGTAGTATATGTTTGTGTTAATGTAACTTCCTATCTTTTACTTTCAATGTCCTTCGAAGATGTTGCGTGAAGAGGTATACCCACACTCTGAGACGTCCTACGCACATCGTATAAGAGTGGTAATGCATGCGTTATCCTATATATTTAATGCAAATACCGGAAACAAATGTCAAAAACACAGAACGGGCTAAATTGAGAAGCAAAACATTTATCCAGAATGAAAGTGCATTTGTGTATTGGAAAGGATTGCCTGACATTTCTTGATTTATTGTTGAAAAAGTGCACAGAGTGGTCAACTACAGCCCCCACCCATAAATTAAAATTACCCCCTTTAAACTTTCTCTTGCAGTGACGAGATGAGGCGGTAAACCACGTGTAGTGTTTCGATCGCAAACAGAATCAAAAGCAATATTCTCACCCCCTAAAAAAACAAAAATCTCAAACCAAAGAGATTAATAAGAATAAGAATAAACAATTATTTGTTCAAAACACAAACTCCATAAAACAACGGATTATTGGTTTATGAGGTCCCCCTTTTAGGGAGGGGCTTGCCGTCTTCCAACCCAATAGAATTATCAGATGACTGCTGAGTGGATGAGTTTAGCTTATTAAAATGTACACAGCATTCTCTCTTTAACAGTGCCACCAAGAGAACAAAAACTGTGCCTTAGGCCAAAAAAATGTCTCCGGTTTGGGTCTGGAGTTAGATCCAAACGTGGTCTGGCGACGCGGGTTTTTTTACCCTCACTTTTTTTCTGGAAATGATGTACGTCTATATAACGGGCGATCTCCGTCGTGATTGCATGCACATTTTACGCTGGCCGCAACCAACACTAAAATAGACTGGGCAACGCACTTTCTGAATAATTAAAAGACTTGGGATCAACTCGTTTGTCTGGTTCCCAGATGTAAATGTATAATACAGAAATGACATCAACTACATGACAAAGAGTGTCCGAAAAGAGGGACTCCTTTACTATGCTTACGTGGCAGGATTCCAGTCGATCAACCAAGTTTGGCAGCTTTTGGACATCGTTTTAAACAGTAATTTTTTTTTATTTTGCCGACACGCACGTTGACGAGAGACCGGATACCTTTTTTATTTTAGCCTTAATAGCTAATTAAAATTGCAGAAAAATTACAATCAAAGTCGAAATTTTAAACCAAAGAAGATTTGACTTATCTACTTCATTTCCGAATCACTTCGTCGGGGGTTGTGTAGGGCTCTGAAGTGGTGTTGTGCAGAAAAATGTTTACGTATGGTCTGAGACTCGAGGAATAGAAAGTGTGTGATTTGAAGGCCTTGAAAATAATATCGAATAATATATACATTTGTATATTACATATTTGTGTATTCAGCTTAAAAACTGAGGGAGTAAAATGACCCAGTAAACGCCGTTTCAACCCGCATAGATGTAAATCCAGCGTATAAAATACTGCACTCTTTCTTCAAATGCGAAAATCTTATCCGCAGGCAATATTGGCCCCCAGTGCCAACTGCATTTTCATTTCGAATTTCTCAAATCGATATCCCTTTCGCTGGGTAATACAGAAGGTTTTCTTCCTTTTTGTGTTTTTATTTTCTGATATGTTATCTCCCCGAGGACGTCACCAATACCTCTTCCCGCCATTCACACATTGTGCGGACAACTAAACGTAGGAGTAAAGACCTATCGTGTCAGTGAATGGGACCTTTTCAATCGCAGAGTTCAGCCCGTCATCCGAGAGCTGTTCGGGGGGCTCTGTGGTGCCAACACCCGACACCCGATAATGGCTGGCGTTGAAAACCTCCCTGGCCCGATCACACATTATCACCATCAGACATCGTCGCTTAAAGAATAATATCGCGCGATAATTGTCTGATGTAAGAATCGGGCAAGCGGCCAACGCACAATGTCATCAACAATGAGGTGTCCCTTTTCAAGGAATTCCGAAAATACAACAAGTTTCAGTGACTTGCCTCAAAATCCAAAACAGATCTGGCCGCTTTTTCCCTTCAGATGATGCATACAAAATCATTAAAAGCAATGTTCCATCCCAACAAAATGAGAGTAGACCGTTCGCTCTGCGATATACATTCATTCTTATGAGATGGCAGGTTCTCAGAGATTGCTGCGGAAGATTCCATCGCAGTCTGCTTTTTATATGATGCTTAAGCTCACCATGTCGGAAAAAAAGGTCCTATGCAAGAGACCGAGAACCCAGTATCGTGCAGTTTCTATTCGTCGCATCTGACTCAGGGGCTCATCAATCTGTTCCAAGTGTTTTTGGAAACTTTTAAAAAAATGTTAACAAGACTTAGAAGACTTGTGGGAATTTTGTCATAAACGTCTACATGAATACAGTATCTGAACGCAATATACTGTTTTTCGCTCTTCGTGTACCGGTAACTTCCAGAAGAGTTACGAACATTCGAATGATTTCGTTAATGAAAATAGACGATGAAAAAAAAAACACGATGATATACGTCGATCAGTGTGTAAGTGAAGTTCAGAATCTCTCATTAGGTTTGCCAATAAGGACAATTTGGCTAATGCACGTATCGTGGGATACTGATTTTACGTGCCGTTATGGTGGTCACTTAGTGTCCATTATAGCCTAACAAAATGTCTCTGTTGATGAAGAAAACAGCATTATTTCCAATTCCCATCTCTATTATTGCTTTTTTAGCAATCCTTTGATAGCTTAATGAGGACTTTCTCTTGACTTCTCAAACGGAAACCTTTTGTCTGGATTGTCTTTGAAGAGAACATTTCAGACGCAGGGTTGTTCATACTCTTTTAACGAGCAAAGCTTTACTTGCTTCACTATTCCGCAGTAAAAGGGTTTCATTTCTTCAACTGTCAACCACGTGGATACCCTTGTATAGGTGATATTTAGCTTCAGCGTTTCAGAGAAGTACAGCATTAACTTTTGTTCAACAAATCAGTGGTATAACCAAGATATGCTGTGGGGCGGGGCTGATACCGGAATTAACCCCTCCAAAATAGCTCATGTTGTTCACGTCGCCCTTCCCTCGGTTGCGGTTCAGGGGACTGGGATGTATGGTTATATCAGAGCTAATAGTTTCAGATTTAATTGTATATTTGCCTTCTTTTTTTTAGAAAGTAAACAAAAAATTAACACCTCTTAAGGGTCTCAAGCCACTGTGTAAAATAACGTAAAACCTCTTAATTCTCTGCTTAAAAACTTAAACCTTTCCGAGGAGACGTGGTGAAACATCGAGCTGCTTAATGGCGCCTTTCCATGTGTATATGGTTTTTGGGTACGTTGCGTACACGATGTGTTCGTGCGTTTCACTCTCACAAAGTAACACCAAAACCGACTCCATTAATTATACACATCTGTTGCGTTCGGCCGTCAAAATTGCCCCGGGAGTGATTTTGACGGATACACAACGGCTAGCGCAAGTATTGTCGTGCATATGAAAGGCACCGCAATGTGGAATCTGGCCTTTATAATGCAGTTTATGCCAGTTCTAAGCACTTTGAATTGGTTTTCACTGAGTATCGAAAGATTATGGGGGTTAAGCGACCCCCAAAATTTGAAATTCCCGATATTTTTCCCAATGTTAAACTGGTTCAAAGCAAGTGTAGTCGGTTTCGGGTGTGGTCTTTTTGGGTTATTAATTAATTAGGATGAATTGATAGGATTTTGAAAGGGACTGCTTATTTTCAGGTGAAATCTTCAATTTCCCCTTTCTATTTGAGGTACGCCTGATATTCAAGAATTTTTCAAACTGAAGTGACAATTTGCCCGGTTTTCTCAGAAAAGTGACATTATATTACCCAAATTGCCTATCTCCGAGCTGCCCGAATTTTTCATATTATGAAGCAATATCCAGAAATGGATATTTATTAAAGGATTTCGTTCATTTTTGTCCTCTAGATTTCCACACCTAGTCCGTCTGCTAAAAAACATGATGTTTCCAGTGCTACGGGGCACCTTCCTATTGGCATGGCTGTCTGTCCTCCTGTTATCGCTTTTAGGTGGGCGTGGTTGCGACACCCTCCCGCTCAGCCAAAAGCACCCACCCCGCGTTATCAGATCTGACCCGGGGAATCCTGGCATTACCGAGGCGGCACAGGAGCTCGACGCACTGGAGCAAGCCGCCGATGCCCAGGATGGTGGAGAATTGCATCCAGCCCTCAAAGAAGTTGTGGGACGCTTGGTCGGGATCACTACGGACACGCGGACCAGCGGAGCGGATGATCCCAAGAGGTCCAGGCGGTTGTGGGGCACTCCTCAACCCGCGGCTGACCAAATGAATCTAGGCTACACATACGTCAATTACGAACATTCTCAGTGGGGTGATTATCTCTCCGTGTCGTCCTCCTCGGAGGCGGGGACCGACTCTTTGGACAACTACGACCAGCTCGGCGGAGGCAAGTTCATCAGTGAGGTAATTGACCCTTCTGTCACCCATACCGTGTATGGCAGCCTTCCCTCGGTGCACGACGGCTCAGACACCGGCGTTGATGATTCCAAATGGACAGCTGCCCTGCCAGTGGGGGTACTAGATTTCAAGACCTTCCCGCAGCCTTCAGACAAGGGAGCGGGGAGACCCACCTCGCAGCTGTTGGGTTCAGGGATGGCTCAAAATACTCAGGATCCTTCACAAGAGCCTGGAGAGGATTTAATTGCAGGCGAGGCTGTTGACAGCTCCCGAAATGCTCTCGACCGCCACTCCATTCGCCAGGAGGACTCATCTGTGGGCAACCTGCTCTCCTCGGTGCTTTCGGCAGATGACGGCGACAGCTTGGCGCACAACGACCTGGGGAAATCTTTCCTGGCTACTCCTTCCGACAGTGCAGAAAAGAGTGAAGATACCAATGGAGTGGAACGAGTCGCATCCGCAGTTGTTGCGGTGAAAAGTGACGAAGACGCCATATCAGACCAATTTGCCGTTGAAAAGGTTCGTGAGATAATCAATTCGGACATTCGTAAACAACAAGACGCCGCGAGAATGGAAATAAACACAATTTCCTAGTCATGAACCAAATAAATGAAAAACGTCAACTGCACGGGCATCATAATACAAAAGGAAATTGTAACACGACCGCTTCAAGTTTTTTGTCCACGTTTTGAACCGTTCAGCGACTGTGTCTCTGGAACTTTCAATAGTTCTATTCCACACATTTTTCCAGAACAGGGCCAGTGTTCACTGCCAATGCGCCCTTTCCGAAAGGTCTTGTTCATAACATCCACGCCTCTCCGTCGTCACATTTCTCCCGATCCCTCCTTTGAGCACAAGAAGAAAAGAAATTCCCATTAATGCTCACACAAACTTCACTGATGTTCAAATATTCAATACGCTCTCGTGAAGTCATTTTAGCATTCTCTTTCAGCCATGTTTAATAGAAGACCCGGCCAATTCGCTGAGCATGAACTGAATTGAGATCTGGCTGAGTACGTTTTCCTGAGTAGGATGCTGTATTTGGCACATGGTTAAAATACCTTTCCCTAGGTGGGTGCACATTATATGTCATGTGAATCTGCTGTGAGAAAGGGTGATATCCAAAACCACTTTTTTGGGGGGGGGTTGGAGGGGCTGGTGCAAAAAACTTGAATGTATTCGTATAACCTGTTATAGCCTTTCTCATAAATCTTCGGGCTTTTACACGCTTTGGCAGGGGAAAATGCATTAGTCCCTATCAGTGGTGTAGCTAGAATTTTACTAGTGGAGGGCACAAGGGCACCAGCATCTTATGGGGGGGGGCAGTAGCTTGTTAGGCTTGGTTGATATCCATTCATCCTTTTTTCAGCGGGGGACACCGGGGGAGGGACGTCCCCCAGCCCTCCCCCTCCACAGTAGCTACGCCACTGGTCCCTATACACATCTCCTTTCTCCATATATTTTTTACATCAGTTAAAAGCAGAACCGTTTCCTTTTTGGAAGGGGCAATGACCCCTGTTGTTCATTTTCTTAGACCAGCCATTGACTGTAAGGCGTAACGCACAGTATTAAACCCGTACATATGGGTCAGCAGAATCGGGGGGAGGGGGTCACCATGTCCCTCACAAAGCTCCTGCAACGGATACTGTTAAATTACAACTTCAAGACTCCTCAGAAAATCACCATACTCTAGAGGGAACCTAATTCTCTCGTCCAGATGGCATGTTGCACACGGGAGCGTTTGTTTTTGTCCACCTATAAATTCTGTATAATTGGTTACAGACGCTCTCCACCCTGAAGGCATATCAGATTTATGCATGCATTTCAAGTGCGACGAAAGGAGAGACGCTTGCTTAAAACTTCTCACTCGATTTCCCTCCGGGAAATTCATAAGTGGTGTTTAGTTGAAGAGCAAAATTTCCCCCTTGGAATGCGTGGAAAACAGAATTTCAATGGGTCCCGGTCTTCGCTTCGCGTCCCGCGTCATGAGGAATTTCGTTTGCTAATCTCTCCCAAAATCTTGCGATTGAGCCTTTTGGCCTTTTGGTTTCAACCAATTAGTAATTCTAGTGGGATTCAGTGTACTTGCTAATAAGGGGACTGATCAGCTTCAACTGGTCGGATGCTTGTGGTTAAGCAAGTCTCGTGTTCCGAATGTTGTATATTCGCCCAAACTGCTCAGTACACGTAAAAGTAAAAGCACAATTTCAACACACACTTCTGTTTTACTGCACTGCAAAAAAAACCAAAAAACAAAAACCCGTTGGTGTTAGAAACACACTTATTGTTGGTGTAATAAGATGACCATACCAAAATGTGTGACTTTCAAAACACCGCTGGTGTTACTTTATACACCTACAAGCGTTGTAATGCACTGGACGATGTTAAAAATAACACCGACACTTTTGACATAACACCAAAAATTTCAACACTGGTGAAAATTGTTCGGAGAAGTCCCAACACCGTTTTTCGTTTGCAGTGCACATATTAGGGGAAAACACACTAGAACGGGTCATTACTCTTATTGTAATCAAGTCGTTTTCCTGGTTTCTTGCACTTTTTTGATGGAGCCTCTTGTGGGTTTGCTCACAATTTTTAGCCGTAGACCTTGTCATCTGTCGCTCCGTATCGAGTGCTCTCTCAGCGATGACAAAAGCTGTGGTGACCATTGAAAGCTACTGCTGGCGCCGTCCACTTGGCACCCACGCTAAAGATTTGCGAAATATATTAGGCTAAGTCTGCAAGTCGCCCACGTGGGAAATGGATGTAGTTACTGCTAGTCAGTGACGTATGCGTTCTGGAATGGAAAAGGTCTGCTATCACGTGGGAGCATTCACGTGCATGGGAGCCATCTTCAATTCGATCTTGTTCCCTGAATCTATCAAATTCAATAAAATGTTGCATGGGGTGATTCCAGACTATTTTGATCTCCAAACCTCACTTTCAGTTTCTTTAATATGGCTTGAAACATTTAGATACAATTCATCAGATATTTTAGATTATTTCAAAACGTAAACTGGCATTCATTTGTAGTAAACTTTATTTTGTTGCTGTTATTTTTACTTTCAAGTTCCCCTAATGAAAAGTTAACCACAATTTCATTTCAAGATGGCCGACACATGAATACGGGGTCTATTCTGTGCATGTTCGCCAAAAGAACACCCTAATGACAATTACAGTAATAACATTTACATGAGTGACCAATGATAACATTGACATTGACTATAAATGTGACAGTGACGATAACAACAAAAGTTTGGTACCTGGAGATATTCTTCTATAAGGTTTGTTCTTAATTTAGGGTTTGGTCTTCTTTTACCACTGTCGAGTGACAAATTGAGCAAAAATGTCCACGTTACAACACTTTTGATGCGTTCTTTCAGGCTGTAGGTACCCTGTGCCTTGGGACCAGCAAAGACAGGAGTCAAGCAGACATGACAGAAGATGACATCATTGATGACTTTCTAGATTGGCTCTTCTCTTTCTTGAATGACGTTGTGCTGGGCAAAGAAAAACTCCCGGTTCGAAAGCTGTGCTCCTAAATTAGCATAGTAAGAAGGCACCCACTAGCCGGGCCCACGATGTCAGAAATTCGACGTTTTGAAATCTGCATCTGAGGATATCCATGGGTTCTGTTTTGCTGTTGGCATCAGAGCTTAAGATCTACCCCAAAATGGTTTTCCAACACTGCAGTAAGAGGCTTTTTTCCTGCTTAAGTCACTCACCTCAATACACTTGCCTGAGATAAATTGGATTTGTACCAGGCGTTTGGGGGTATTTTTGCTAAAATTTTGATTCGGGACAAATCGATGCTTTTGGAAGGCATACAGTAAACCGGGCGAATGGTTTGAGGACAGAAAGTTTTACAGGTTCCGTTGTGTGTATGTAAAGGGTTTTAACCTGCTTCAATTCACTCTACTGCGTTCATTAATTAAAAACAATTGTGATCTCACTTTGTAAACATGTCTAAATACTATAAACACTATTTTTGTGTCCATTTCCTAAACATCAATGTCCAGTGGCTAAATCCATCAAAACTGTAAACACGTCTACATAGCATTTCAACATGTTTACAAACTAATAGCAATGTGTATTACAAAAGAGTGTTAAATGGCTACCACAGTTTTTTCAGTGAAATTCTTTGTAATCATTCATTACACTCTGGATCATGATTCTGGGCAATTTTTTTAAAACTAAATTAAGTCTGAGGACTATTCCTCTGCGGACAGTGTCTATACATGACGTACACAGTTTGAGCTTGGGTTTAGACATTAAGCCTATATTTAGTTATTTAGACGGCCAGTATGTACGTTTTATTCGAAACTGAACTTACCTATTTTTAGTGGAAACGTGAGTAAAGCTCGGACTGGACTGATGCCACAAGGAAGGTTTGAGGTAACTTTCCCTAGCTTCTGGATGCGACGTACCGTAAATGGTTAAGGGAAGTACTGCTAGTTGTAATCAAAGTATAGGATTGTGTTATTCATTTGGTGTGGAGTTTTAAAAAGTGTGTGGTCAAATATTTCAGTGTCTTGTGTGCGAGTTCAGATTTCTATCTGAAATAAGGAACCTGGAACCTGTGATGTGTTATAAAAGGGCGTAGAAGTTCCAAAGTCACAGATTAACAATGAATGAACGTGGCTCTATTGGCATCCTGTAACTAATAAGCGCAATGTATTTTTTTAGCGGTTGACTGTCTGATTTGCCCGTACAGTAATGCTAAATACAAATATACATGTATAAAGAAATATATTACAGACACAAAGACCCGTAGAGTTCAGTAACGACAATTGAATCTAGACCTTTAATTTTTTCTGTTTTTTAATCAAGCCATAGATCAAGTCCTTTTTGTGCTGCCGTAAGGTGTATTTGAAACTATTTTTTGTAAATGCAAGGACAACCGCAGATTTTAGATGTGACTATAAAATACCAGTGCGTTATTTATGTGGTCTCTGAAATAAAGATAACGGTGCGGAGTACTAATTGATAAAAAAATGGCGTGAAGTCATTTTGCACAATTCGAGCAATCATAGAGGTGTTTACACATAAACAATAGATGTTTTATAAAAGTGACAAAAAGTAGTTGGTCATTAGAGACACTGTCTCGTTATCAGTTTGAGAATAATTCATGAAGTCTTTCCACTTTCTTAACCGTAAAAGGCGAAGGAGGGCATTTTCCTCCGATATCATCGCGTTGCACTTTGGTCACGCACCGAGCCTTCAGAAGTTTTGAAGTAACATCTTGTGGTCATTTGGACATAAAATTTGTCAAACCGGACATGCGCGGCTCCGGACGTTGCACAGCGCCCTTTTTTCTGAGATAGTAGGTTAGCCATAAACGTACAAGTTTTTCCTTGAAACGTGCTCAATGCACATGAGCTGACACGCGTCTGTGTGGCCATGAACTTTCAATAACCGTAATAAAAAAACTGTATGTCAAATTGAGTTGAAACTTCACATTTAGTTTGTACTGACAATGAATGTATATTTATCTGTAGCCAAGTCAGTTTAAAAGGATCGAGCCTGGGACAGCCAAGCGCTTTTGGGGGGAAGGAGGATGGGGCCAATAGTTACTTGGTCCGAAAAAGCCCCGCTTTTTTAGGGTTGGGTGAATTAATTTTGTAAAAAAAAAGGTCCTTCAGTGTGTAGTCCAATCTACCTACACGCCTTAAACTGGGGGATCTTTAGAGGGTTTGTTTGGTTTTAAACCCTTCTTCTTGGCTACCCTAAATGAGGAAATAAGAAAACAACAGACACTTCTTCTGAACCCCCCCCGGATATTCGCCTGGAATAAAAACATCCGGTTGAAAAGAAGGTCTGTGATGTACATTTCGTTGATTTGTTTTTCGATTTAAAAACGAATGTCACACAACCAAACACAAGTCGTTTTCCGTCTTTCGTTTTGAAAACAAAATAAAAAGTCGGAAAACGAATGAACGAAACGTACACGGACCAAAGAGCCACACTGCAGTAGGGAGTACTCATTTTGTTGGTAGCAATGCGAACTTAACGCATTATCATCCTTGAACCACCAAAGGAGCCATTGTTGCTGGGAAAAATACGCCCTCTCTTGGTCCAACTTGGTGCAACAAAAGAGGGCAGTGTTGTCTGCTGATTTTGATACCAAGTACAGCACGCTGCTATTGTGTGCTAATTGTCTATGTGCACTGACGCATAATCCACCATTTTGGTTCCAACAATTGTCACGTCGTAGCTCTCTCTGTAAATAGCTCTGCCCATCAAAACACCAGCCTAAGCCGTTATTAGCTAACATTGATAAGTCTTATCCATAGTCCATTCAGATCTTTGACTTTAAGCAGCACTATGTTGCAGAAATGATTGCTTATTGCAGTGTGCCAGTGTTCAAAATTTAAAAGTTTTATTAAAGTGTGTTTTATTAAAGTGTGTTTTCCAGTTGTCGACGAGGGAGTTGCTTTATATCCCATGATTCATTACTTGCCATGTTACGATACTGCAATTCCAGAGCAACTTGAAGCAGTTTGGATCAAAATGAGACTACCACCATTACCCAGATCTATATCTTGCTTGTTTTATTGTATATTGTATTCTCCACCAAATGACCCTAATGCAGATGCCCTGATTTGTCACTGACAAGAAACAGTTGAGAGAATTTCTACTGATCACCCAGATGCTGGCTTTATTATTGCTGGTGATATGAATCACCTTGATGTTAGCCGGCTGATCACAGGCTCATTTGTGCAGGTGGTGGACTGCCCAACTCGATATTCAGCTGTCTTGGATAAAATCATAACTAATATCCCTGCCACTAATATCAGCCACCAATTATCATGACCCCTCTTGGACGTAGTGAGAATAGCAAAGTTTTGTGGAACCCTAAGATAAATGCTACTCACTACAATGACACGCATATCGAAACTATGAGGCCGATGAAACAGTCTTCTGTGCGTGAATTTGGCCAATGGATAACACAGTACAACTGGTCTGCGGTTTATGCTGCGTCAGGTACCCAGCGTAAAACTAATTTTTTTTTTACAGTGTCTTACTTGACGCAATTAATATGTATTTCCCATCGATCCAAATTGATAAAATCACACAAAAATGACAAGCCATGGATGACTGTTGAAATTAAGTCCTTGATTAAGCAAATACTATTTTCTCGAAGTAATGATGGAAGTTAATACGAAATAAGATTATCCGTCTTATTACCATTGCCAAGAAAGATTATTATCATAACCGTGTTCAAAGGTTGAAATGTAGAAAGCCCGGCTACATGCATATGGTACCGTACCTTAAAAATGATGACATCTGGCACCACCTCCGATCCTACAATCATCCCTCCTTCTGGCGTCGACCGTAAGGATAAACTTGCCATTGCAAACACAACGAGTTTTTTACGAGTGGGTCAGTATCTTGATCACCCGGATTTGTACTCAATATCTTGCCTATTTGCCATCACCTGAGCCCTGTCCTTCAGTTCCGGTTTGGAAGGTTTATAAACAACTTCGGAAAACACCAGGCAGGTGGGCCAGATGGAATCCCAGCGCCGATTATTCGTGAGTTTCCATGTGAATAAGCCACTTACAAATATTTAATACATCGTACCAGGAAGGTGTTATTCCAAACCAGTAGAAAAAGGCAATCATTAATTGTTCCAATTCCAAAAAGTCTCCACCCACATGGAATAAGCTACGGCTAGTATCTTTAACTGACCATTTTGCTAAAGTGGCCGAACATTTTGTTGTTCAGTGGGTTACGTCAGACATTCACATGAATTTAGATCCAAACCAGTTTGGTAATAGAAAAGAGGTATCAACAATTCATTATCTTGTTAAGCTTGTAGACAATTTATGTTCTCATGTAGAATCCCCCAGAAGTTATAGTACGTTAGTAATTACAGACTTTAGTAAAGCATTTCACCATGTTGACCACAATGTTCTCATTCAAGATCTGCTTCGTATAGGCACACGCCCGTCATTAAATCTGTGGATATGCAACTTAGCTCAGCGATCTCTAGTGTGTCAGGTACGAAAATGTGCTGTCTGACTTCAATGTTTTGAAAGGTGGTCTAACTCAAGGGAAAAAAATTGGGCCGCTAGGATTTTTGGCTTAATTCAATGAAGCTGTCAATTCTGTTAATAACACTGTTAATAACAAGGTTCTGAGTCTGAAATATGTTGATAATATGACACTTGTTGAGAATTGTTTAAATAATCACCCAACAAGTACCCAACCAGTATTAGACGAATTTAGTGAGTGGGCTTTGCAAAATTATATGAAAATTAACCCTGAAAAATGTTGCAATATGAATGTGAGCTTCATGTAAAAAAATTCCTCGGTTTCCATCACTACAAATCCTAGATACTGATCTTCAGATAGTTGGCTGTGAAGATTCTCGGTGTTCTGGTTAATTCGGACCCTCAAGTGGGACAAACACTTCGATCATATTTATCAAAAGGCTAACAGTAAAATCTTCATGCTTAAATTGTTGAAGAAATTTAACTTGCCTATTACCGATGTGTTAATAGTGCTAAGGAGTTACATTCAGCCACTTATGGAATATGCAACATCGGTTTGAAATGCAGGCTTAACAAAATCGCATGAAGGGAAGTGGGAGAGCATTCAAGAACGTTCGATCCAAATCATCTTGGGTATGGAGTATTCAGACTATGAATCATCTCTGACTAAATGCAATATTGAGTCTCTTCAAAATCGTCAAAGAGACCTTTGTTCAGTTCAGACCAAACTGAAGTCTTCCAATACAAAAAATAGGCCCGCAATTCAGAGCTTTTGCGAAAGAAATAACCCGAACAGGAACTTGCCAGTCACAAATTCGGAATTTATAGAAATGATTAGTTCATCCCTCCTGATTATGGCATGTCTTATTGTAAGAACCTGTGGGATCACAAAATATTCATGCGCAGAAATACAACCATTTCGCGAAATGCACCCTCAATAGTATCATGCAGGCCATTTTTTCCGGGGAAAAGTGAATCGGGAACGGAACAGTTCTGCCGAATAACATGTAATAATTTGTGGTGGATCTGATACGTGGTGTATTTCTTCAGATACCCTTCCCTGTGAATCGAGCCTCTTTACAGCAATTTCCTTATGTACTTGAAAAGTGAGCACTGTTCCTGTCATTTTTATAAGATATTTTTAATATGTTGACTTTAGTTGTCGTATATTCCGTTGTGTCAAATGTTGATGTAAATATATAGCTCAAAATATCCTTTTCTCTAACCCTATCCCCAACACTCGCACTATCCTACCCCTAACGCGAACAATATCCCTCACCCATCTGTCCCTAACCTTATCCCTGTCTCTAACCCTATCGCTACCCCTAACCCCAACCCTATCCCTAATCATTATCCCTACCCCTATCCCTAACCCTATCCCTAACCCTAACCCTATCTCTAACCCTAACCGTACCCCTAACCCTATCCCTACTCCTAACCCTAACCCTATCCCTAACCTCAACAGTATCCCTAACCATTATCCCTAACCCTATCCGTAACCCTAACCCTAAACTTACCCCTTACCCTACCCCTAACCCTATCCCTAACCCTACCCCTACCCCTAACCCTAGCCCTATCCGTAACCCTGACCCTATCTCTAACCCTAACCCTATCCCTACCACTATCCCTAACCTTACCCAAAACCCCAACCCTATCCCTAACCATTATCCCTAACCCTATCACTAACACTATCCTTACTTTTAGCCCCAACCCTATCCCTAACCATTATCCCTAACCTTTCTCTGACTGTAACCCTATCCATACCCCTAACCCCAACCCTATCCATAACCATATCTCTAACTCTAACCCTATCCTTATCTCCAACCCTATCTCTAATCCTAACCCTCTCCCTACCTCTAACCCCAGCCCTCTCCCTAACCATTATCCCTAACCCTATCTCTAACCCTAACCGTACCCCTAGCCCTATCTCTAACCCTAACGCTATCCCTAACCTTACCCCTAACCCCCAATCCTATCCCTAACCATTATCCCTAACCCTATCTCTAAACCTAACTCTATCTTTACTCCTAGCCCAACCCTATCCCTAACCCTATTATCCCTAACCCTAGCCCGAACACTTCATATCCCTGACTGGGAAAGCGTGGCCGTTGTGCTTGAATATGGGAATGCTCATTACTGTGAAAAAAAACCAAGCATTTATTAAAGCACCCTTTGAAAACAGTTAAACAAAAGTTGAAAGCGAGGTCAACTGAGACAGAAAGGTGCATTTTGAATGTTTACGTGAAAACAAATTAATTGTGTGCTGTCATTGAAATAAAAAGTCTCAAATTCAGTTTATAGATTTAAAAAAATCCATGTATTCAACCTAAAAAATTGCCTTGGGAGTTTTGCGCTCAGGAAATATAAAAAAGAAAAGAAAAAAGAAGTAAGTGAGGGAAAAATCC